TTAGGTTTTGTCAAGTTTTCTCATGTTTAATTTAGCGGATTTCTCGCTGTGACAATGTGTCGTCAGTCAGTGGCGGGTTGTTCCGGGAGTCTTTTAGCAGTGTTACACGTGTGCGGATCTTTTAATCACGTTATGCTGGTCGTGCCGCCCGAACACTTGTTTTCCGTGTAACTCTGTCTGTTCTCTGAATAAAGCCTATTTACTCTTGATTGAACCACGTTTCCTTGAACCAACGGAACGAACGACCCGACAACAATGTACTGAGCAATTCGGCAAGAATCCAAATAGTAACAATTGGCCATGAAGCCTAGCGTTAATCATTTGGTTATCAGCCTTAATATAATTATTTGAATTCTACTTGAATCATAATATGCATTAAAGTCATCAAGTAGGAAAGATAATCTACAGAAAGATAATCTTCATTGACCGGCCACAGCTGGACCGGTGCACGAGGTGGAGGCGCTACAGGGCAGCCGTGCTGAGCTGCCGTGCGACGTCGCCCCCATTGAGCCTGCGGACCGCTTCGTGCTCGTGCTGTGGTACAAGGACGGCATCGGCACGCCCATATACAGGTTAGTTATAGCGTCTGTATATGTCTTGTATTAGCTCAAAGGTCTGTTTAAAAACAATTTGTCTGAGTCTGACTTGGTACTAGGATGGCATCGGCACGCCCATATACAGGTTAGTTATTGTCTGTATGTGTTTTGTATTACCTCAAAGGTTTGAGATAACGTGAGATAACGTGAGATAACATGAGATAACGTGAGATAACGTGAGATTACATGAGATAACGTGAGATAACGTGAGATTACATGAGATAACGTGAGATAACATGAGATAACGTGAGATAACGTGAGATAACATGAGATAACGTGAGATAACGTGAGATTACATGAGATAACGTGAGATAACATGAGATAACGTGAGATAACGTGAGATAACATTATCTCGCATCATTTTCTTTTAAGCCATGCGTCCTGCTAGGTTTGTGTTCCTAATATCTCCACTCGTCTGGGCGATGCAATATAAAAAGAAGTACTCGCACAGAAAATTATTTTCAATGAATTATGTTCCATTATGCTAGCAACATAATACGTTACATTTTTCTCAGTTAACTCGTCTATCCGACTACTTCTGCTTCTAAAGTTCATCTGAGCACGTAAGTAGAAAAAATAATTTAGGAGCCATACTGAACTAAAGCCAACAGATAAATAACGTTTTATGTTCTCGGAATTCATTCGTTCATGCGTTTAAAGCTACATCTTCGAGAAAATAAACGTAAATTATTTCGAACATCATGGTACAGCGAAATATTTTATCATAAATAGCTCCATGAAATCAACATGAATAAAATTATCGACGGAAAAATTCTCATGTGGATGAAGCCTAATTATAAATCATTGCCAGTCATGACGAAACTTCTCCATTATTTATTTATTCATTCAAACTTTTGCTTAATGCTGATCACGATATGAGACGCTAATTTAATGCCAAGATTATGAATAATTCAGATATTTCTTCAGGTACAAAGAACATGGATTAAACTCGTTGAATTAGACAGCCACTCGTGATATCTTTCCTATTTTGCCATTAGAGTACACTCTTTTTTTTCTAAAACCTTTATTAAAATTTTCGCATGTTACACGTGGCAGTTTTTATAAAAGACAGTAAGATCGGACTAAAGTTGAGATTAGAATCAAAGATGAGAATTTGTAGATGCAATCTAAGTTCTCACGCATGCTGGAACAAAGATGACCACAAAACTTAAGGATGAATCGATCAACTCTAGCAGTTGCCGATAGCAGTTAGAGATAATGACAAACAATTATTAAACACGATTTCCAGTTCGCTTCGATAATAAAAATATTGCATTTATATGCAAGATTTACGGTTATTTGATTCAAGAAAGATAGACAGGAAAACAATTAAATAATGGAATTCAAACTCGTAGTTCTCGCTCCGCGCAGACTGCGTGAAGCTAGCACTTACTAATTAACCAGTGCATATCAACCGTTGCGTGTAAGGCAGAGAAATATTCCAGTTCGTTTCTCGCAAATGCTTCTTCATTTTCGTTTTTCTGTTTGGCCATAAATCAAGGACAGTAATCTAGCAGACGTAATAAAAGGACCAGTTACCACGAAGAAATTTAATTTGTAGCTTGGCCTGTGATGAATTAATGTATGAAAATTCTCCTCATGTAAAGATTTAAATCATAATTTAAAAATTATCTCCTGGAGCGGTGGATTTTTACAACAGTTCTGAAAAATAAAGATAAAATTAAACGAGTCCATTTATTCAACGCCGTATTTGAGGAGCTATACAAAAAATTTTCTCCGCTCTCAGTTAAGCCAAAAATCAGCAAAAATATTCAATAAACAAGATCTCAGTTTCAGGGTCTGATTAACCATTTATCCCTTCCTCAGCGATAAGGCAAAATGTGTGCGTAAATCACATTCCTTGAGTGAAAATCTTAACATCGAAAATAACAAAAAATATTTCACAATTTGTTCTTTCCTAGTTTCCTAAATTACATCTTTTTAGCGCATTTTCTCATTTATGGAAAAGGCGCTATTGTGCTCGTCATGTCCGTCCGTCCGTCCGTCCGTCCGTCCGTCCGTCTGTCTATCTGTCCGTCCGTGACCTCACGTTTTCGTTGACGAGAAAATGCGCTCTCTGTCCCTCACTGCAGTGAGTACTGAGTTATATTTTTTATATTGTCACAAAAGACGACCGTTTCGACAGTAGAATGCCTGCGAATGCTAGTTATGTAACTACACCTCAACTACCCGTTGACTAATGGGACAAGAAGCAACATTTCAATTTGCACTGATACACTATGTTGAATGATGCAGGATTACAGGCAGGACTAAGCCTCTATAACTTCGAAGCGAAGCCCAAAGGAAAGTCTGGAGTTAGCAGGTGATGTTGTTCGGTAAGCCTCGTGATACAATCCCCATAATTTCAGTTAACAATTCAAATTATTTAGATTATTTTACTCGTAACTTATTATGGTACGTTTGGTTCTTTATCTTATTTGAGTTAAATAGCATTATGAGTTAATCAAAAAAGCAGGTTTTTTGCAAACTTCAAACCAACCTTTTAGTTTCGCTCGTTTATTACACTATTTTGAATGTTTTTTAGTTATTTTTTAGGTTAGCTGTAGTTTTAGTTCATATTTCTAAATCAATCAGTTTATTTAAAATTATTTGTTGAAAATCATTGTTATAATTTCTCAGCAATCTTTTCACATTTCCATATGGCTTCATCTTCACGTGCACAAAATTTTCGCTCAATTTTATTCGTACGTTGAGAGTAACGAGCTGAACAGTGTTTAAGTTGGAACCGATTCGTATATCGAGGTCGTTAACTTGAATATTTTGAGCATACTTACATTCTATTCTGAGAAAATAAAAGTTGATTTCTGGAGTTTTACGCCTTTAAAAGTTGATTTCTGGAGTTTTCTGGATTTTCCAGAAAAATTATGGTAAATAAAAGAATTAAATCATAAAAAAATATATTATTAATCTTGTTAATCATTATTATCTGTACTTATCGACGAATGAGTGACAAGTGATTCTTTTGTCTATCTTCACTGAGTCTGAAAATATTGAAAACAGTTCTAAAATGCACCGGGAAGTCAGCTTCAACTAAAGGTGTGCAAAAGTTTGTTGAAAAGAAACTAAACAGAGTCGACATATTTTGTCGTTGAAACACTGTTTCCCGTTGTAATGTCTTCATCAAAGATTCACAGTTTCCCTGTAATGTCTTCATCTCATACGGAATAATCAAAGCTGAAATGGACAGCAAAACGCTTTTTCTATGCACAGGCTGATTTTAGTCTTGCTGGATGCTGGCAATTTCAGAATTTTTTTTTCAATCATGCGGCTAACTCGGCAGTGGTCACTTGTAAGCCGCTTAGCGCAGATGGACCAGCCGTCTGAATTATTACCGACGCTGCATGGCAGACCCTCGGTCGATGAGAGAGAATAAGACAGGAAGCTTTCTATTCAGTTGCCTTGGTCGCTGAATGTTACTGTGACCAACGCGCATCCACATTTACTGGGCCTAATGGCTAAAAATATTATATGGGGGCCGCCACATAGGGCAGTTTGGGAAACATACTGAAAACTCTACTGGGGTTAATTTGCCGTAGTCCACTGATTGGGTTAGATGTAACGTGAAACTATCCCTGAATGTTCTCACTATACGATATCACCTCTTATTAAAAATAATTTGTTAAATTGTGTTCGCGTTTTAACGAGTGTGAAATTTTTTTTACGTAGCATAATCCTCGCAATGAAGTGCTCCACTGAAACAACTGGCTAGCAAAAGCTTGAAAATGGTGTGTGAACGGTGAGCGCATATGGTCGCCGCTTTTCTAAAATGAGACTTTTTTTGTAGAGACACTCTGGAAAATGTCGAGGGCAATATATATAATAGCTTGAAGTATTTTAAATTTTTTTGCTGTTTGAAAATGTCACAGAATCTTTTATTGGATTTACACTATTATATACTTTCTGCCATACTTGAATTCGATAAACAAGAAGAACTCTTTAGATTGCTATAATAATGTTGTTGTTCGAGAATTCTCGAAGCCTTGTTCCAAGACCTTAGTTCTAAGGCAGATGGTGTATGAAGAAATCCCGACAGAGATCAGTAGACCGAACCCTGCAGTGTAGCGCTGTCGATGATGCTGATGAATAATGACACCAATTATGGCGCTGTTATGGTCCTGGTGAAGCGGCCTTGTCTTACATACGCTGATCGAAATAAATAAAATAAAAGAAGTATGCAATTAAATTTTAAACTAAAATGTTGTATATCATCGTAATATTTCCCATAGATTAGCAGTTTTTACTTTGTTCAATACAGTTCGTGTCGTGTGATGGAGCTTCATGGAGTTGAACTTTAATCCTATAGAGCAGGAATGCGCCGCGCAGGGCATAACTTGATGGCATTGGGAATGCAGGCTGCGTTACAGGGCGAAACTTCGGGGCTGTTGAGCAAGATAATAATGATCAGCGTCGAGGAATACACTGCCCTAATAGTGACTTTTTCTAAATGATAATTGCACTAATAACCGAACATTTTAGATGGCGGGCGTTTACTGGCTTTAATTGGCAAAACTCCAGATTTAATTTAAACTAATAATCTCTAGTGCTGATCAGCGATTCTAAATTCAATCTTTCCGCAAAAGCAGTCATAAATAATGCTCGATATGATCCAAAATTTAGCTCGTCATTGATATGCTCAAAAAGCTGGTGAACATATTGCTAGCTATTTTTAGGAAATCGTATACTGCTAAGTGATTCAGTAAAGTAGAACGCAGTAGGGCTATTTTCACTTGGTGCAGCAATGTTTTGTTTGGGTCTGCATCTGTTGCAGCATTGCAAACGAGCGGTGCGTGACATCAGCCTCACGACGAGAAGGTGTAAGAGATATTACATAAACACTGATGTTTTGGGTCTGCATCTGTTGCAGCATTGCAAACGAGCGGTGCGTGACATCAGCCTCAAGACAAGGTGGTGTAAGAGATATTACATAAACACTGATGTTTATTCAATATCCACTAATTAGAAATGTGAAACATGCACAAATCCTGTGTCTCAAGTATGACACACGGTCTTTCGACTCTCGGAAGCATTAAAACGCGTACACTACAAATTGCACAATTAGAATCTACAAATTCTTTCTTAGATGCACATACAAGTAAGAAGGTAAAATGGATGGGCTGAATGAAGAAAGTTACTCTTCATATTCCACAAGAATATGAACTAATCAGCATATTGCTGTAAGAAACGTGTTCACATATTACTTAACAAATAATAGGTATATTTGCCGCAACACCGAACGGGGGCAGTAATGATCGAGGTATAAATAGATAACAATCACCCGTCATGCAAGTGTTCGCGACAATCCTGAGGGGTTTATGATGCAATCTACGCAGCGAATAAAATTTCGAAATGTCAAAGATAATTTTTTTCGACGGCCGTACAAATCTGGTTTCGACTCTAATGAAACGGTTAAGGAAGTGAAATTATCGACCAAAAATCCATTTAAGTATAATATAACTTTTCCTTGGCAGAAATTCGTTGAAATTGCAGAAGGTAAAATTAAACAAATATATGTGTCACCTGAGCCATTCTAAGTCGTACACTTTGCTTTGGTGCGTATGCGTGAGAAAATCATTTACATATGCCATTAGAAAAATCGAGTGCGACACCGCACGACGCTGCAGTTGAAGTAATTTACGAACATTTTCATCAAAGATAGATATGCCATTAGAGTTTAAGTTTAGATCCTTATAATAACCCCTGAAACATTATGATGTTTACTCTCTCATAAAGTTCCAGGTTCAGATTTTTGCGTATTATGTAAGGAGCTAAGAACAGTGTACGTAATTATGCACTAATTTCTCTGAATCGATGAATAATTTTGCAATCCGTCTCATCATTCCTTGTAGTGGTCATTGTTCTAAATCATTAAAGTCGAGGTTATAAATACTGAGGTCGAATGAATGTTTAGGTACGCCATAGTATTCATACTGAATGAAATAGTTTTCATCATTATGAGAAATCTTCTAATCGGGCTCTGCTATTGATATAACATAGCTTAAAACTGGGCAACGATTTTGATAAAGCTACATTTTCTGCACACGAAAGTTTCTGTAGTACAGAGTCTTTCCTTGGTGGCGCATATTAATCAAGAGTTTCAGACAACCATTAGAAAATATTCCCACTCTGAAATGTCAAGATTTGATGCTCAAAGTTCTGGCAAGTCCTTGGCTTTTCTCCGAGGAAATTGAGGCAATGCAATGCAGTGGAGCGCCAATGCCTGCCGTACTGAGTGCACCTCAACGACCCGAGCGGCCTTCAGAGCCTCCACAATGAGCGTCAGAGGCGTTAGCTTGTCACTGCCGTAACTTTCCGCGTCTATTAAACTAAAGTCCGGGAGATTAGTTCTAGGCAGGCTGAGTTCAGAAGCATTGCTTGCGATGGCTCGTAAATCTGCCACGCAGACTACATCAATGCAACATCTCATGCTGATCATGCTGATGGACTCGGCGTCTCCGGTAGTACTAATTGATCTTGATGAATTTCCAGCGCATAATGAGCTCAACGTTACGGCTTGGTTATCTTAAATTAATCCTGTTCCAAATTAAACGCAGGAAAATTAGGCTACGACATGGCAATTTTACTTTTCTAGCCTTTGAAACAATATCAGTAATCCGTCATTGTGTAGACGAACTTGACTCATTATTTCATTGTGTATACGAACACAAATGATTATTCTGGCCAAATCTTCCTGTAAACTTATTAAGCTTACAGGCAGATTTGGCCAGCTTACAGGAAATAATATGATCATTAATGGTGCATTTGTGGGCTAATTTGCGACAGAAAAGCTGTACTGATATTTCTTCATGGTGAACTAGCAAGGGATCACGGCTGGGCTTGGCATGGAAAATCCTGGAGAGTCGCCAACTTTTTCTTCTAAAATGTCCTTCATGTAATTGTATTAATTAGAAAGCTAATTTCTTCCGAGTTAAAAAGGACGAGTTCAAGCCCTCATTCGTCACAGAAACTTTATTTGACCCTTGCATTGAAATTCAACAAACTTAAAGAAATTTCAAGAAATTGTACAAATTTTACAAATAGCAAGATTTATATATGTTAAATTGAATCAAATTTTACAATAGTACATACTTTTTCAAAGTAGAATCGATTACCTGATGGTCTCTGTGGCAGCACGCTTGAATAACACATCAGATTTAACTTCTTTAAAACTACCAACCAGATTCCCTAATTTATAATATTCATTAAATAACTTTTGTACGGAAAATATTCCATCAAGGCTTGAATTATTGAAATAAATTAAACTATCATTGGGTGGAGCTCCTACTAAAATATTTAAGTGGCCGATTTACATCTAATTAAGGTGCCTCTCAGGTGAGTCAAGAACAGCACCTGGGAGGAGTCCAAATTTTAAGGAAGTCGCGCCGTTTTCTACCAAAATTTGGATGTACCTGTAAACTTTTTACGGACTGCTCTCCGTAATATTCTTTATAATTCAGACAGACGATACATGAACAAACAGATGAATTTCACAAGTTGGTTAGGGGTGCAGTTTCTCCTCGTCTCGGTGTGTCAGGTGGAATTATATTAATTGCTGTGTTAACAATCCTAAACATTACCAAATTTTACCTCTCTTCTTCAGCCATGACTCGCGGGGCAATAGCCAGGCGGCAGCACGTGACTGGGCGGACTTGGAGGCGCTGGGCGACCGCGTTTATTTCGACTTGGACGCCTCACCGTCAGCTCTCATCGTCAGGAACGTGAGACGAGGCGACGAAGGTCTCTACCGATGCAGGGTGGACTTCAAGAAGAGCCCTACCCGCAACGCCAGGAGTAACCTCAAAGTTATCGGTTAGTGTCTCATCAGAGTACGATCAATAATCACAGAGAGTACATTAATCTAATCAGAGTACGGTCACCAATTTCAACGTACGCACCTATACATGCATTAATACTGCACTAATAATAGTTTAAACTTGCAGTTTAACATGTACAAGGCAAGAATTTTTACCGTAAGCTAGGAATGACACAGCTTAATTGAACGCTGAGTGGGTAAAATTAGTTCTGCAAAATTTGCGTCGGGGGATTTACCTAGGGCAAAAAAAATCATCTAGTTTGAAAATATGCCCTCACCGTATTCCAATGAGGTGTACGTGGTTTTCTGAATATCAATTCCATTGTTCATTGTTATGTTTTATGACAGTAGAATTTGCCACGCGGGGTCGTGTCACGTGTACGTTCAGATTTCAAAGTCGATTTTCATGCATATGATGGATGAACCCAATTAACAGACAGTCGTCCTCAGAAGTAAGATACGGAAAATAATAGAATATGAATTATAGAAAATGTAGAAGACGTAGACGAAGCGTGGAGAGAAGTATGGTCAATCAATCAGTTACTTACAAGCAGCCATAAAAATGCATGTGAGCTGCACGACGTTTCTCGCTTTGTTAAGAATCTGGATTACGATGATTCCATCGAGCGGATGGGAGCATAGATGGAAAACTAGACACGGCGTAAAATGAGTGAAATGAAGATGGTAGGAAATGAAGTGAAACTTTTTGTCGCTAATTCATGCAGACATTGAATGAAGACAAAATGATCATTTTATTTATTTGAGAGTAAATTTTTTATTTGCATTCTATTGGTAGAACACACCAGGTTTAATCTTATGAGATCTACCATCTGCGCCTACGTTTGCAAAATTTATTAGTATTCTCCGGTCGAGCTGCACATGCTTAGTGCAGTATTTCAACTTTTCATGCAAAAATGCAGTGAGCTTCAGTAATATCGCTCTGCTTGTACGAGTAAATTGTTTCAAACACCGTTTTTACACCGTTTATATTTTTTTCTGTGATAACTTGCTAGACTTGCTCGCTCCGTATATTCCGCCATACGTCTGCTGTTAATTATTACGTATATTTGATATAAATTGTACTTTTAGCGAACTCGCGCATATTTTGCTTCGAGGTCTCCCGCTTCCACGTACGACATAGGTTGAGCATCAGATTACATCTCGTGCGTGTCTGTAGTGACTGCGTATAGGGACAGCGCAGGTGTCAAGTTCCGGCCTGCGCTCCCATATGCATGTCAAAGTTACTTTGATGTATCGGCCTGCCTTCAAAGGCGTAGATCAGAATACGTTTGAAACCGCATCTCACTCACAGAGTAAGGTTAAAGCAGGGAGTTTAAAGAGAAAATATTTTGGAAGAAATTTCGGAGGTTGTCAGTCGAGTATCATTATTCAAATATTTCAGGTCATATTTAAGTTACACAAAGCATTCTATTGTATGTATTGTACAGTTTTTGTGTTGTATTTTTTTGTACGGTAGAATTTTGTAGCAAAATGTTTACTCACCAATGATCGTCAGAATTTTGAAAGATATCAGTTATATTAAAAGTTTCAGTGGACCTGAAAGCATCACAAAAGTCGTCCAAAACACACATGTCATCGCACGAACCGCATATTTACTGCCCAGGAAAACTTCGGTCGCACTGGAGCGGGTATACGGCACTGCACATCCTAGACGAGCCTGCCAAAGACAACACACCCGGGGCCGTGATATAAAAAACAATCACGAGTTCGTATTTCAGTCAGCCTAGCACAGACGGTCCCTTATTTATTTCATCATTAACAGACGAGAAATCCGATGCTACGCGTACTTACGCCGCTATGTGTACTGTGGCCGATGAATGGACTCAGGCCGTTACATTTACTTAAGTGAGCTGGCGTAGTATATGTGCCTGTCCGATGTGATTAAATTGCTATTGTAGGGCGTGCAATTAAAAGTGATATGTAGAACCTTAGCTATTGACTGAACAACTGACATAACTTGCGTGTGTGAAAGTGGATACTCTAATACCAGAGATCGCAATTGTTTCCAATTGTAAGTTTTCGCGGTCCGTGAAGCCAAAATTTGATGAATTTAAGAAATTGTTACCGAAGCGAATACAAAATCAAGGATGCCCATGACTCTATTTTATGGCCAAGGGTCTTTTGAAGAGTTTTAAAATCAACATAACAAGATTTTGCTCGACTGGACGAGTTTCCGTACCAGAGGCTTCAGGAGATGCGATGAACTTCAGTAGGATTAATTCATGAGCCCCTCGTGGAGAGCCAAAGAGTGCAGTATTTTATTTGTTACTTATACCATTATAAAATAAAAAACATCCATTCGGAAATAAAAATTTATTAGAATCTTCGAACCTTACAAATCTTTCAATATTCCAAGTCTATGACTCGCATCGTCTGAGGAAAGAAAAAAGCAAGATGAATGTAGGTATTCTTCGGCATCGAAATTTCTGTCTCAGTTTGCTGGAATTAAAAAGCTTCTATTTTTAGAGGCATTAGAGGCATTTTTATGCCTTTAATTTCAAATTATTGGTTAATTTAAATATCAACCGAACTTTTAAGAATAATTCCTATGATTATACTATCAATAATGGTTTTATTATGAAAGAGAAAATGATTTTCAAATTAATTTTACCAGAGTTTGCCTAAATAAAAAATCAACGATGAGTAGATGGATGTTTATCACGTTATTTTTTCCCCTGCCGTTGTACTGCGGCTTGAACGCTCTGCCTTCTTTATTCATTGCCAAGATCATAAAATATCAACGCTCAGATTTTTTGGGCAATAAAATGTTCACATGAGTTTACGGAAGTTTCCTGGAAGCCACCGAACTTGCCTTTTTTAGGCATCGTCAGTCTGTTTACATCATGAATATTTCGGATTTTTTTGAAATGGCCCGAAAAATTGAAATATTTCACTTGCGTCAATAACTTGGCCAGAGTTTTATTTGGACAAGTATTTTTTGCAGATTTTCCGTCGCCAATGAGGCAAGCAATGTTTTGAGAGGCTTCTTGCGGACTTGGAGGCGCTGGGCGACCGCGTTTATTTCGACTTGGACGCCTCACCGTCAGCTCTCATCGTCAGGAACGTGAGACGAGGCGACGAAGGCCTCTACCGATGCAGGGTGGACTTCAAGAAGAGCCCTACCCGCAACGCCAGGAGTAACCTTAAAGTTATCGGTTAGTGTCTAATCATAGTACGATCATATCTATTTCAAACCTTAAAGTTTTCGGTTAGTGTCTAATCAGAGTACGATCATACCTATTTCAAGTCTTAAAGTTATCGGTTAGTGTCTAATCAGAGTACAATCATATCTATTTCAAACCTTAAAGTTATCGGTTAGTGTTTAATGAGAGTACAATCATACCTCTTTCAACGTACGCACCAGTACTTACACTAATACTGCACTAATAATAGTTTAAACTTGCAGTTTAACATGTATAAGGCAAAATTTTATGCTGGAAGCTAGCAATGATACAGCTTAATTGAACGCTTAGTGGGTAAAATTAGATCTACAAAATTTGCCTGGTGTCTTCCTATTAGTGGAAGACACCAGGTTTAATCTAATGAGATCTACCATTTGCACCTACGCTTGCAAACTTTTATTAGTATTCTCCTGTCGAGCTTCGCATGCTTAGTGCAGTATTTAAACTTTTCATGCAAAAATGTAGTGAGGTTCAGTAATGTCGCTCTGCTTGTACGTGTAGATTGTTTCAAAGACCTTTTTACACCGTTTATATTTACTTTTTCTGTGATAACATTTAAAACATTTTTTAGTCTGTAGACTTGCTAGGTCCGTATATTTTGCCATACGTCTGCTGTTAATTATTAGTTATATTTTATATCAACGTACTTTTAGCAAGCTCACGAATATTTTACTTCGAGGTCCCCCGCTTCCACGTACGACATAGGCTGTGCTTCAGATCGTAGGTCTCTACATCTCGTGCGTGTCTGTAGTGACTGCGTAGGGGTAGCGCAGGTGTCAAGTTCCGGCCTGCGCTCCCATATGCATGTCAAAGTTACTTTGATGTATCGGCCTGCCTTCAAAGGCGTTGCATCAGAATACGTTTGAAACAGCGTCTCACTCACAGAGTTAGGTTAAAGCAGGGAGTTTAAAGAGAAAATATTTTGGAAGAAATTTCGAAGATTGTCAGTCGAGTTTCATTATTCCAAAATTCTAGATCATATTCAAATCACATTAAGAATTCTGTTGTATTCATTGTAGAATTTTTGTGTTTTATTTTTTGCACCGATGGAAGAATTTTGTATCAAAATGTTTATTCACCAATGATCGTCAGAAATTTGAAAGATTTCAGTTATATTAAAGTTTCAGTGGACCTGAAAGCATCACAAAAGTCGTTCAAAACACACGTGTCATCGCACGAACCGTATATTTGCTGCCCTGGAAAACTTCGGTCGCATTGTAGCGGGTACGGCACTGCAAATCCTATACGCGGGCTGCCAAAGAAAACAGACGTACCCGCGGCCGTGATATCAAAAACAATCAAGAGTTCGTACGTCAGTCAGCATAGCACTGACGGCCCCTTATTTATTTCATCATTCACAGACGAGAAATCGGCCGCTACGTGTATTTACGCCGCTATGTGTACTGAGTAAGTAATAAGTAATAGCAACTTAATCACATCGGGCAGGTACATATCCTGCCCTATCTCGCTTAAGTAAATGTAACGGTCTAAGTCCATACAGTGGCGTATGGACTCAGGCCGTTACATTTACCTAAGCGAGATTGGCAGTATATATGTACCTGTCCGACGTGATTAAGTTGCTATTGTAGTGAGTATAACTGATTTGTGGAGCCTTAGCTATTGACTGAACAACTGACACGACTTGTGTGTGTGTGAGTGGATACTCTAATACCAGAGATCACAATTGTTTCCAATTGTAAGCTTTCGCGGTTCGTGAAGCCAAATTTGATTAATTTAAGAAATTATTACCGAAGCACATACAAAATCAAGGATCCCCACGATCCTATTTTATAGCCAAGGGTCTTTTGAAGAGTTTTCAAACCAACACAACAAGATTTTACTCGACTGGACGAGTTTCCGTACCAGCGGCTTCAGAAGATGCGGGGAACTTCAGTAGGATTAATTCATGCGTCTCTCGTGAAGAGCCAAAAAGCGCTGTATTTCATTCGTTAGTTTTGGCATTACAAAAAAAAAACATATATAAAAAGTTAATAAAATTTTCGAGCCTTACGAGTCTTTCAATATTCAATGTCTATGACTCGCACCGTATGAGGAAAGAAAAATGCAAGATGAATGTAGGTATTCTTCAGCAGCGCAATTTCTGTATTAGTTTGCGGGCATTAAACGAGTCAATTTGTTTTGCTTCTAATGCACTTTATTCGTTAATGTTAAGATCAACGGAACTGTCATGAATAATTCTATGATTAAGCTAGTGGGAATAGTTTTTAGTAAGAAAAAGAAAATGACTTTCAGAAAAGAAATGAAAAGGAAGAGAGTTTTCTCTTTCTTCAGTGAGATAACAGAAAATGACTTTACCAGAGTTTGTCTTAATCAAAAGTTAATGATAGTAGATGGATGTTTATCCCATTATTTTTCCCCTGCCGTTGTACTGCGGCTGGAACGCTCTGCCTTCTTTATTCATTGCCAAGATCATAAAATATCGGCGCTCAGATTTTTTGGGCAATAAAATGTTCGCATGAGCGAATGGGAGTTTCCTGGAAGCCACCGAACTTGCCTTTTTTAGGCATCGTCAGTCTGTTTACATCATAAATATTTCGGACTTTTTTTTTAAATGGCACGAAAAATGGAAATATTTCGCTTGCGTCAATAACTTGGCCAGAGTTTTATTTGGACAAGTATTTTTTGCAGATTTTCCGTCGCCAATGAGGCAAGCAATGTTTTGAGAGGCTTCTAGAGGGAGTTTCTTTTCAGATAACGCCTGGCTGGGTCGTTCGCAAATATTTGAGTTTGGCATCATTTCGAGATCGATAGAAACTTCTCCCTAGGCCATATTGCTTCTGGTATACGAGCAAGGATATAGGCTGTCATCAAAACTGCGTTGAACATGTCAACATTTTTATAGCTATATGCATTCGTGACGAACGAATGTTATTTTATTTAGTTTTTAACTTCGAAGAGAAGAAATGTTGTCGCATGGATGTGTTACAACTTTGAACAAATACACTTACATTCGACCCAAATGTTTTAAGAAAGAGTTTACTATCTGATAAATATGTTTATTATAATGATTGGCAGCACAAAACTTATTGGTTAAATTATACAACTACAAGTTTGGATTTGGAAGTATTTATGCGATTTTCTCTATGTGTAATAAAAATTCGTCATAAGGAATGAAATTACTTCTACTTGAGAAGAATACACTTTTTTTTAATTTTTCCCACTCATAAATCAAAAATTTAGAAATAAAACATAAAATTGCCCTGGAACCTTATATAAATGAGGAAGCCGAAAATAAAACTAGTGAACTAATGTGCATTTTGCTGTCTTTCTGATCACTCAGAAATGTGACTTCGCTTGAGCAAAAATTTGCCGACAAAATTAATTGAGCCCATGATTGTTTGTTGCTATTCAGTAAATTCGTATCATCGCATCGATTTCAAGGTCACATTTTTGTTTTTCTCGATATTTATTCATGAATGAATAGTTATCATTCATTACTGCTTGTGATAAATTGTACCTTATCCATCATCTTGTGTTTCCGCATCAGCAGTTCAATATTGAATAACACTCACGGTGTTGCTGTCGTTCGATAATTACATTGCGCTCACTCTAAACCAGCCTCCTTGTATCCTCTAGATTGTTCATTTCCGGGCACCTGAGTGACAATCTCGTGGGTTCCATATACATAGTACTCATGTATATTAAGCTTGGCTTGTCAATTGCTCTTGAGCTCTCTGGAAATACTGATTTCCATTATTGAATTAATCTGAGATTGCATTAATCTTATTTGACCTAAAAGGCAAGAGCCACATGCCGCTTGATTATTCATGTATATTAAATGTATAATACATTATTAACATTATTTGTTTGATAACGTGCATTTCTTGTACAACTTATATCATATTGTATTTGCTGAAAATTGAGAAAACGTATAAAATCACGTGATTCACAACAAATACTATTTCATTTTGAATAAAACTAAATGCAACTCAACTTTAATCAATTATACAGTATAAAAATTGTGATTCATATATGCAATTCATTATTGTCTCTTCTCATAATAGCTCGACTGTGTATAGTACCCTCGCGTTGAAATTGACATGTTCGTTGAACGATTTTAAGACGACCAGAGATTTCGTTTGTAAAATGTTCGAGTCTCTGAAATCTTTTCGATTATTAATCTGGGTTTGAAATTCAATATACTTTTCTTTTTCGGTCTAGAAAGATGGAGAGATGGAGACCAATAATTAAATATTGCAACTAAAAAGCGTTGGCTCGTCTCCAGAGAAGAAGGAAAAATATTTATCAAAGACCATAATTACATTGTTATGTCCTATTTGTTATGACGTACAAAATAATTTGACCGAAGAAAACAGGGCAGTAAGCATGGATATCTATTTATTTTGTTGAAATAATGGCACTACCTCAGCAGGCTTGAAGACATTAAATAGAACATGAGTTATCAGAATAATATTCTATTTTAACCGATGTTAATACATTAGAAGTTCTCATTGCTAAAAAATAGTCACAAACAAGGTTTTACTGTATCAAAATCATGAAACTATTCACGACTGCAATACTAGTCAGGAGTTCGTGTAGAATGAATGCATGGACGGGAATTGGGCAGAACGAGAATAAATACGATAAAAAAATAATTAAATTATTTCTCATTCAATGAAACTTGTTTCGCCAAGACAATTGAAAATGAATCTTTAACGGATTGATAGCACTTTTCCTCCGATTGAAGTAGTGCTTTTAATCAGGAACGGATGGGTAATCAAATCAACAGACTTCGGGCACCAGTGAGAAAATCTACGCGCAAACCATTTAACGAGAACAGCTTTTTCTAGCGAGAGGGTAATATAGGTTCAATGAAACAGTCATTTTAAGCGAAATAATGTACGAGCATTACTATAGTACGTTTACATGCAGACCTGAATTTCTGAACACGTCTCAAGCGAATATCTTGTTGGATTTTCCAAGCCAGCTCAACATGATTTATTAAAGTGACTATAATTCCCATGTCTGAGAATATTATAAATCTACATTTTCAATTATTTATGAAAATATAATATTATTATATTAATTCGTCCCTCTTACGTCAGAGCTTTTGTCATCTCATTTGCGATACATTGAGCCGCTATACAACGTTAAGACCAAAGTTAACTGAATGAGAGATTAACTTTCTTCTCTAACGAAGAGCTACAATATTCTGTTTGAAATAGAAAATTTTTCAGGATTTATTGAAAACATTACAGTTGTCTTCTAAGGACAAAGTTAAAGGCTGAGGTATCTACTCATATTATTATAGTTTCATTCTCTTTTGCAACCGAGTTTCCCAAGGTATAAATGTCAAATTAAACAAAATATATATAAGAAATTCTGCCAATCAAGAATAAATAGGAGTATTGAAGTGCCCCGTTATCCGTTACAAAAGTTGGCTATAGTTTAAATCCATTCATTTTTACGATTGACGCAGCATCAGATTTGACACGGTATCATAAGAACCTGTAGCTACTTCATCCATCAGGCAAGGTTATTAAAATTATTACACATCACAATTTTTTCATGATTCCATCAGCATTTATTTTTTTTCGGGATTTTGTAAGGGTTTCGATTTCGCACGTGTGCCATGTGAAGTAATACGGTTGCAATATAAATTTATTGTGGCCCAGTGGTTACAGTTCAGAGTACCAGGATTGGAGCAGAGAGGCGCTCGTTCGATCCCAGCTCTGTGCGCCAGTTTCTGGTCAGAATCGGCGAGGAGGCCGGGCGGTTAAGCACAGCAGAATTGTAGCAGTGAGTTGCGCGTTTTTATTATTATTACTATTATTATTATTATTATTATTATTGTTATTATTATTATTATTATAAATTATTGCATTTCAGTGCCACCCGACCCTCCGACTGTGCGGCAGAAGGACGGCAGTCAAGTCTGGAGTGTCGTGGGTCCCTACAATGAAGGGGATACCCTGGACCTGACCTGCTCTGTAACGGGAGGTGAGTTGCTGCTTTACTTAGATACTCTGTGCATTATTAATATGGTATGATGCGAGGTCTCTGTATCTTGAGGTAAGGCGCTGCACTACGCAGCAACTCCCGTACAATATTAATTAATGGTATTTATGGTACGAGGTTTCTGTATCTGGAGGGAAGGCACTACTGTAATCAGCTACTCTTTACGATACTAATGGTATGCGTAATACGAAATAATACGATGTCTCTGTAATTAGAGATTATTCGCTGCTGTACTCAGTAACTCTGTACAATATTAATGGTATGTTTGATAAGAGGCCTCTGTAGCTTGGGCTGAGGTGCTGCTGTACTCAGCCACTCCCGTACAATATTAATGGTATGTATGATACGATGCCCTCGGCCATACACGCTCAGCTATCATACGTGAGGCGAGTTTCCAGGCATGTATGAAGGTTTTATGAGACAAGGGTTGCGACACTGCAAACTGCAGGCAAACAAGAGCTATAAATTTGTTCTAAAATTAAAACTTTTTGTGGTTCGTGTAGATATTGTTTATGCCAAGTTTCTTTCTCTCTCTACCGTTATTATATGTGTTTTATTTAATGCTTCTTGAGGGAAAGAAAATTTGTAGATATATTTCTAGTATTTTGAAACTACGGAGACATTATTATGTTAAGTTTTACTATTTACATATTTACATAAAGTTACATTTTTTTCAGCAAGTAGCATGAAAATGAGACATCAGGCGAGCTCAACGTTCCTTCTACTATACCTCGTCATTGCTCTCTAGAATTGTTACCAAGCTTCCAATTAAAGAGTGGAGGAATCGATATCGTTATCATTAAGCATCAAATAGTATGCATATGACGTCGAAAAGAGACCTGTATCTGTTCAGTTTGCTGTAAATTCCCTCGGATCAAATTTTTTACGATGAAATATATCTTCAATTTATATTTCTATCGTGAACCCAATACAAAAAAGAGGGATGGTTGGAAAATAATTCACAAATAAGGGAATGATGACAAAAATTAAATGAATTATTTTGCTTCAGAGTAGGTGGCCGTAGCATATCAATTACTAGTAAGGCATCAATTTATTTAAAATTCTCGCTTAAGCTGGAAAATTATTGGTAAAATCTTGGACCCAGCCAAGCGGACCGCAAAGTCTGATTCATGACGAGACGGTTTTTCGATATCACCAAAATCTAAACTTGAGTCCAAATTATCGTATTATCGTTATTTTTAGCGCATTTCTCATTTATTGAAAAAATGCCCTATTGTGCTCGTCATGTCCGTCTGTCTGACCGTCCGTCTGTCCGGACTTCACGTTTTCGTCGACGAGAAAATGCGCTCTCTGTCACTCACTGCAGTGAGTACTGAGTTATATTTTTTTAATTAAATTAACATGGAAGCAAGATCAAATTGTGCCGCCAGGAGCTGGGTAAATAATTGATTTTTTAACGCGCATACCAGCCAGCAGGCTACATTAGGCTATTAATTTTGAATTTCAGTGCCTTGAAATGATTTTTGAAATTCCATAACTACGTTCAGACCAAATTTCGTTGTTTGTGGCCTTAATTGAGCAGGGAAGAGAATGCCTAATTTCAGGCGAGATATGCTTTGTTGCGATTGTACGAAAAATTATTGACCGTTTATATACGTATGTGGTTGTTAAAACCCACTTAAAACTCTTACTAGCTAAAAATTCAATGGATAATGTAATAGACGACGGAGATGCAATGACTAATTTCGTAGTTTCAAATATAATGATTTTTATCGGGAAAGAATTTGCATTTGTTTATACATAGCAAACAACATAGCAAACATTGTTTGTGCATGGTTAACACAACATAATGTTTGTATTCCCGTGTTTGAGTAACGAAAGCATTTGAAGAGCACACTCAGTATGTTATATATATCATATGATGTAGAATAAACTTAATATATTGAGTAGAATGATTTCCAAACTACACATGAAGAATTTTATTATTATTGAATATTGAAATGACGAATATTGAAACACATCGTGCAAATCAAGAATTTGATCTCTAAAATTTTGCCATGTTTGGAGTGTGATGTCGTCCAATGTTTTGCAATTGGATTGGCAATTGAAAATCGCAATATTGATAGGCCTTCATAATTATTCAAACAGAAAAATATTATGACCATAAATTTGACAAGTAGTGAAAGAAACCTATAAAGCTAAAAAAAATATATCTCAGTACTTACTGTAGTGGGCGACTGAGAGCGTATTTTCTCGTCCACGAAAACGTGAAGTCACGGACGGACAGACAGACAGACGGATGGACGAACGGACAGACGGACATGGTATGCTTTCCATAAATGAGAAAATGCGCTGAAAATTGAATTTATTCAACCCATAGGAACAAACGAACTTTATTTTAACTTAGGTGCTGACTTCATATTCTTCAGAGGTGTCATTGATTTAATGACTGCTTATCCGCAGCTATTCCATTTTAAACGTAATAATATCTTGAAGTCTGTCCTACATTTGAACAGATATAAATGTATTTATATTCTAATTCGTTACTCAAAACGACAAGAGAGCTGAAACCAAACAGCAAAACTTTGATCAAACTGGCGCATCTCGCGCATTACAATCGATGCAACAATTACTTAGATAGCGGCTGCACTTCAATTTCAATTATATTAACGAACAAGAACTCACAAACGTTAGCATATAGATAAATGCTTAGTGATTTTTCGACATGTTACGCTATTTTATTTTATATGCAATGGTGAAGTCATCAGAAATAATCTTGCCCATAGGCGAATTTTCAATAAACTGTCTTTGTTGGGTGCCAGAAAAGCGTCCCGAATCTCATTGAGGCATCAACTGTATGAATATAATTCAATCGTTCTCATATGCTGCTCGCTCAGGGATTCCCAGTCCAAAAGTGAGATGGCGTCTCGGGAACAAGATTGTCAAGCGAACTCAAGAAGCCCCAACTGAAGGCGTGGTGGAGAACAGGCTCGTGATAGAGCGCCTGAGCCGCGACCATCTGCACGCTGCGCTCGTCTGTGAGGCCGCCAATACGAACTACAGCGCCCCGCTCACAGCCATGATCACCATAGAGATGAACCGTGAGTACATAGCTCCTGTGCTTAGCATTGAGATGAACCGTGAGTACATAGCTGTTGTACTATGCATATCATCGAGTTGAACCGTGAGTACATAGCTCCTGTACTTACCATCGAGATGAACAGTGAGTACATAGCTTCTGTGCTCAACACCATGATAACAATCTAGATGAACAGTGTGCACTCAGCTGCAGTACTCACATAGCAATTCAGTATTATCGTAATGTTCAAGAGGCTGAACTAATCCGGGGGATTTTGGACGATTTAGATGCCCCCGAACAGGAAGCAAGGCAAGTGAAGTGGCTGCATGCCTGAGATACTACGACGATTAGAACGATTAAATGTGAATTTCAACTCACAAGCTTGCTGAGCCCAAGTGGATAAAGAGGTTCAATAATTAGTACTAGGTTTGCTAAACACAATTTCATCGCTTTAAAAAAAATTGCAGTTGTTTATTAAAATCTGTACAACAAACAGAAAAGAGCTCATCCGAATGTACTTGTACATTGATTAGAGCGCTGCAACAATTCATTACAAAATTTCTGAGAAAACTATCGAAATTGATTGGTTCGATCTTAATTTTATTTGGATTCGAATAGATTGATTTGCCTACTGTCCGTGTTCTGGTTTGTTTGATTCAGAATTAAATAAACTGCTAGTATTATCTATTGGAATGCCTGTTCCAGGGAGTAAAGACGGAATTTATTAACCAAATAATGAATGAATGCACTTCAACTATGGTGATGACAATGCTGCAAAAATGCGATTTAAATTTTTTACATTTATTATGGCATTGGTGATTAGTTCACTGCTTCAATTACAGTGCCTGACTTGACTGGGTTCTCTTGTTGCTCCAAAAAAATTAGATATTTGCACAAATATTTCATTCATTTTTCAATTATTATTTTTACAAAATTGTTTGAAATAATATGCACTCTACTAGATAACACTTTATCTTAGATCTTAGATATACAATGCAAATTGTACATTATATAATTTTCCACAAATTGCAATCAAGATTCTTGAAAGATTCACGATTTGCAGTTTTTTATTTTGGAAATTTCTTAAAGTTCAGAACTTGAACTAGGGGAAGACTTCATGCTGACGACAGTGAAGTAAGTTCAGTCAAGCCAGGAACTGTCAACAAATCACTTGCGAATTGTGTGCCCAAAAACTGTCCCTCAAACCGACGTTCTTCATTCCCCTTCAAAACAAATACGTCGCCAATTTATTTACCCCGAGTCTACCTTAAGTCTTCGAATCCCAATGTCTTCAGCTGTGCCGAGATAGAATAAAATTAAGGAAGAATGTATGTCGTCACAAAACTTTTATTTGGATCGAGTTCGCATATTGTTGACATCGAAGAGATATCAGTTATAATAAGTTATTAAATGTTCACATATCTAATTACTGTATTTGGAATGAAATTCCATTTCACCAAATGTGTTTCGCATTGAAGTAGGTCTGCCGATCCAAATTTATTTTTAGAGCTGTAATTTTTTGCTGAGAATACAAAAAAAAATCTTCTAGAAATTAGATCCATGCGTGTTAAAAATTACCTGCAATCAAACACATTTTCTCGATATAATTTCGACAGTTGCCGTGCCAAAAGGGGAAAACTGCAATTTAATGATAGTTTTGTCAATACAAAGTCCTCGCAGGACAAATTAGTCTCGCAGAAAAACTTTAATAGAGGAGTATTCGAGACGTAAACTAAAAACTTGTATCCATGACTTTACTTATATCATGGTTTTATTATGCCATCAAAACTGGAAAACGCTTCTATGAAACTTTTACGGCATCTGTGTAAGCGAACTAACTGCAATAATTTGTCTGACATACTGATTTACTCCGCCATTTCACTTCATTGGAAGTATAAAAAAATACCTGAGTTTAAAATATTTATAGCGCTTATTTAGGAAGTATTTTTTATTAAACAATTGAATGCACTGTGAAAATCTAATTACGTATTCAACAAAGCAGAGATGATAAAAAACCCTGCAAGATCAATTTACGGCTTAGCCCCGTATTCTAGCGTACAAAAACTATAAAACGCATCCTATTTTCTACACCTACTATTAAACTTTTCAATCTCTTCTTGAAATTGTTTCTGGGGACAGTTTACCTAGAAGTTTGTTTGGCTGTATATACAAGAGGTAGAATTGCACTGTCCAAACTTCGTCCACTAAAATCTGTGACGAGAATTTCGTGGAAGTAAGAAAAACTTTTGAATCTCGCTGCGGACTAAAACATATCAGGGCCTGATATGCCTAGTTAAAAATGGAAAAAACCTACACTTAAACGGAACTGAAAGGACACCAAGCTCTCGTTTTTAAATCTTATAATTAGCTCATCATCAAAGTTAGCCAAATGCAAAGAAAAACAAGGAAGCTCTTTGGCATTTGAAAAACTTTGAAGCTCCTTGATGCAGTTCCTAACAGCATTATTTTGTTTGGAGGAATTAAAGGCCACCTAAGAAGCCTTTCACGCGACTCATCAATCAGCTGAATTATAAATAAGTAGTCGGTCACAGTCGTTCAGTGACGTTTATCGGAGATCTTCAGTGTGATTTTTTACAGAAAGATTTCGCTGTTGAAAACTAGTTAGTTTGGAATATAGATTTTAAATATAAGAGGTGGCATAATTTTCGTTCCAAGTTTCAGAAGCGTGACACGTTGCAAAACAAGTCCTTGTAAACTTTGCGTTTGCTTCTGGTGTCAAAAATACTTCGTTTGTTTCTGATTTAAAACGTAAGATAGAGAGAACATTCAGTTTCAAATATTTAGAATATCCAATGTCATAAAACCGTGTTTATGCAGATCATCATGTACAACCCATTATTCATGTGATGCTGCAAGCAATATTCAGATAGCTCAATTAATATTTTATATACCTACGTTTCATATGTCACTACCTCTCCACATGAGGTACAAAATTTCAGGTGAAGCGATATATTTTACAAGTACTCAATGACATTAAACCGGGTAACCTGTGTAAGACGTTTATTATTATAAACTTTTATACGGAGCGTTTTCTCAACGTTTATTGTCAATATTAATAACCCAAAACATCACCGGTTTCTGTAATTTTGTAGGAGAACTACCAACATATGTAATAATGGAATATTTACTAATGATGGAGAAGAAGTAGCTCTGCACATGCTGCTGCAGGAGTTAATCAGAGTTTCGTTGAAAAACGAATATTTCGGTTCGGTTAAAAGACTTCGGGGACGAATTTTATTGAGATCAGTTGTTTCAAGGTGGAATTTCAGTTCAATGAAGATTTCCAGTAAATGCAAACACATAAACTCTACTCCAGCCTATGAGAAACAAAATAATCATTCTTTATAAAAATGCACATCATGAAAATTAATCAAATACGTATGGCAACGGGAAAATACCATATCATATGCTAAAGATACTTGTACAAATGTAGATAAATTGAAAATAAATTAAAATCTTACATATACCGAAAGCCTACCCGCCATTTCACAAAACCATAGAATCACAAGTTAGACTGTCGAGTTAAAAAAGCGAAAAATTATATCACAAAAGCACTGCATCTTTGCACTGACCAACGTTAAAAAAGCAAATCAGGATAACCACGAAATGGACAACAGGGCACCAACAGCTAGGGTCCCTGAAGAAAAAGAAGGCTAGCGAGCATCGAACGTGTGCTTCTACTATACCAGATAAAATCTATTTCGAGAAGCCGAAAAAATAATATAAATATTTAGTACTGATGATGATAGTAAGTAGAGGTACTAGTAGTAGAGGTTGATGATAGTAAATATTATCACTGAAGAAAACAGAGCGATAATTAATGTACTTATCACCCAATATTCATCTATAGAGGGCGACAACGCTTCTATTTAATTGACTACGTTCTAACCTGCCAGTCTTGCATCAGAAACTCGCTCTGTCATCAAGGTAACTTATTAAATTATGAGACAGCAAATATTAAAATTAGGCCTGAGCTACTTTTGTACGTTTTGCAGATAGTTTGGTTGACTGAGGAATAAATATTGACACTTTCTAAGATTCATGTCGAAAATTAAAGTTCTGTTAATAATTGTTATCGTAACTAAGCATAATAATTGTTATGATAACTAATTCAATGATTTGAACTTTCATTGGAAAACAGTTCGTAATTTTTCGTGGTAGGACAGTGGATGGTATTTTTGCTATAGGGAACAGCATTATTAATGGTCACGATAGGTGACACATAGACTGGGCGACTTAATTATTTATTGATGGTCGACGAGTTTCTTCTGATTGCGCTCCAAATCTCAAAAATAGAATTAGGAAAGGGTCGATGAACATAAATTTTTTTAAATATCAGTTGGGTTTAGAGTAGATGCGTGAAATGTAGTTAATGGCGAAATAATATCGAGAGAAGCATCGACATCTCCAACATGGTTCAAAAATATTTTCAAAGCTCCTGCTGTGTGGAAAATGGCTAAAATACACATTGCTAGTCGCTGGAAAGAGTTCTAATCATAATAAAAGAATTTTTAGATATTTATTTATTTATTTATTTTTACTTTCAATTATTCTTATGTGTGACGTGCCCTCGAAGTTCGTTTGAACCAGACGCCACGATAAATGTATCGTAGAATAATAATAATTAAGTTCTTATGAAAATCGCTTATTCTACAGCATTACTTTCAGTAACCCGGTGTAATTCGAAGAAACTCACTGGCAGTTACAAGTGCATACAAGTGAACTAGAATAAAAGTAATAATAATGAGAAATATAGACGTGCTATCCTGATGCAAGCGCTTGTGTAAACCGAAATGAAATGATGACGAAAGATCGGTCCGGATGTCTCCTGCAGGTCTCTAGAAAAATACGACAGGCTGGCTGCGGCGCTAAGTCAGCGATATTGTAGACCCCATCAAATCACTGAGACAGGTTCCATAATCCGTAACACAGTCTCTGCTCTTCTCGTCGATAAGAAAAATAAAAAATATTCATCTGCATTTGTAATGAAAACTCTGTAAT